AAAAAAAAAAAAAAATACGGGTACATGATCTCTGTAGCCCTTGCAGCCCTGAGCCCAGGCAGCAGACCGGCTAGGAGGTGTCCTCGCCCACTTGAGCCACTTTTCTGTGACAGAAGCTTCTTTTACACTGAAGGGGAGGCATGGAATTAGTAGCACAAAATGAGAGACGGTATAGAAACTGAAACCTGATCTTGGAAGCTCATCCTAGTACCTAGTACAAGCCGTGTAGGGGAAACTTCAGAAAGTTTGTCATTTAGCTGAGACCTTCCAGCTGGGAGGGCGACAGAAACCCTGTGACTTGTCATCCAAAGCCCTAGGGTCTTGTGAATATTAACTGACATCTGAAAATTTCCTTACTTTCCGTTTTTTTGAAAAAGAGTCTCACTTTGTCACCATGGGCAGAGTGCCATAGACCCATAGCTCACAGCAACCTCAAACTCCTGTGTTTAAGCAATCCTCCTGCCTCAGCCTCCTGAGTAGCTGGGACTACAGGCACTCACCAAAACACCTGGCTAATTCTTCCATTTTTTTAATTATTATTTTTATTGTGGGGGATTCATTGAGGGCACAACTGATTGCATTTGTTACGTAAAGTCCCTCTTACAACTGTGTCTTACCCCCATAATTTTTCCATTTTATTATTTTTTTAAATTAAATTATAGCTATATGCATTAATGCAATCACAGGGTACAATATGGTGTTTTCCCCATTTTTAGTAGGGATAGAGTCTGGCTCTTTTTCTCAGTCTGGTCTTGAACTCCTAAGCTTAAGTGAGCCTTCCACCTTGGCCTCCCAGAGTGCTAGGATTACAGGTGTGAGCCACTGCGCCCGGCCAACATCTGAAAATTTCTAATGGAAATTAGAAGAGGTCCCAAACAAACAGGCAAACAAACAGGAAAACATGGATTGTAGAAAATGTGCCCTACCTAAAACCCTAGGGTTTTCTTTTTAAAAATTTTTTTTGTATGTAGATGAGGCCTATCCTAGATATTCTAGGAATGAGCCAGTGTGCGTTGTTTAGCATTCAGCCCCAGAGACCCAAGTCTGTGGGAAATAATTTCCCTTTGCTCAAACCTTATCCCATAATGTGCCTGAGTTAAGGACATTAGGACAACCCAGAACATTAGGCGGGCAAAAGGCATTAATAGGGCTCCACCTGCCTTCAATTTTCATTCCCTCCCACCGGGAGACAGCAGCATTGACTCATCCACCCATCGCTCCCACTGACTGTGTGATAATCATTCACAAGGAGGAGCTTTTGCTGCATTCAACCAGCGTCCAGAGGGAACTTTTTCTAAAAGTGGGGATCTGTCCTATCTCCCCCACTGCCCACCCTATGCCTGTATAGGGGGTCAAATCCCAGGAGATGGTGGGTGGACTCTGAACAAATGCAGGCATACCTGTCATGACCTAAGCCCAAATCCTATCAATTCCCCCTTCTGAGCAGGTTTTGATATGCCCAGGCCCTGCTGCCCAGAACGCTGTTCCCGCTTCTAATCCTGTGTTTACAGAAACAGCCCAGTTTTCTCCTTGTCCCACAGCCTTGGAACTTGGTTTAAGGGGAGGGAGTGAACAAGCCTTCTCAGCTGACAAAGCTTTTGCTATCTGAACATTGCAACAGCAAAAACAAACGGCCTAATCTTTTACTCAGATAGGCAGGGCCAGAGCTGAGCCAAAGAATCCTGTTTGTCATAGAATGATAGAATATGCTAGAACCAGGAGATACCTTGAGATCATCTGACCCACAGTGCAGAGATGAGGAAACTATGACCCAGAAAGATAAAATACCTCGCCAAAGATGCCGCAGACAGTAGTAATAACACTGGTCGCTCCAACTTATTTCAAGCATCTGTTGTGTTACCTACTCTTGGGCAAAGATGTTATCTGCATATGCCTCCCCACACCCACCTTTCAGGACGGACACTATAATCTCTGATTTACAGGAAATACATGGGAGCCCAGAGAAGCCAGGTGGCTTGTCCAGCCCCTTCCCTCTCCCCAGCTGAGCACAGAGCCTCTTTCCAACACACTCTTGGCCACCACTCTCCAAAGTAAGACTCTGTTTCAGTGGGATGTCAGAATGCTGGATTTTCATATCTAAAACATGAGTGGCAGGTTGCAACTGCTGTTTCGTAAGTGGCCGGTACAACAGTGGGGAAAATACCAACCACCTGGCCTCCCCAGGGGAAAGGATTATACCTCTCAGCTCATCTTTCCACAGCCCTCTCCAAAAAGGCTGCGAAATGCTGACAAACGGGTCGAAGTGGGGTCAGGTGCCAGCCCAGGGCATTTACTTCCTGATTCGCTGCAGCCCTGGCACTTACCATGGGGAGGTAGAAAAGCCAAGAGGATGTTGGCTTTCTCAGGCTGCGGCGGCTCTGGAGGGGCCCAGCCGGCTGGCGTCTCTTCTCCCTTCCCTCTCGCAGGGACCTGGTGTCTTTTCCTTCACATCCCCAGGGTCTTTTGCCCCAGTTCTCCCTTCCTCTGACCCATAAAGACCTGTCCCATGAGCCATGTCTTGGGGGCCTGACAAGCTGATCCATAGGACACGCTCCGGGGAAACTCTTGCTCCCTTTAAGTAACACAGCTGAAATTGACAGGGTAGAATTGTTCAGTTTCCGAGCAGTCAGTCAGGGATACAGTGGAAGGCCTTGGTGGGGACACAGGCTCAGACTGACTCACTCAAGACTAGGGTCCCCACAAGTCTGATCCTCTGCTTCCCTTCTCCCAAGTCCCCAGGGGCAAGGTTTCCAACGTTCTGCCTGTGCAAAGCCTATAATGAGGGGAACGCATTTGCATCCGTTTCCCCACACAGGCGATCCAGCTAATGGGACTGGGGACATGGTAACACCCAGTTCCACCCCGGGTCATTCCTCATTGTCTTTCCATGTACACAGAAAAATTTAAATTCTGCTTAAAAGTTGTGCAAACTAATATTAGACTGGCATGTTGGAACACTTCCTGTTTATCAGACTCCACATTAGGCTCCAATCTTTATCACCACTTTCAGAGATCAATATTATCATCCCATTTTATTGATGAAAAAAACTGAGATTTGGTGAGTGGTTCAGATTTCCATAAGAAGTCAGTCTGAGAAAGGTTTGTCTGACCTCGTGGTCCTTACTCTTCCATTTATGCAAGGACACATCCTTGTAGTGTAAAGGATGCCTCTCAGAGCCCAGGCTGGAGCTGGCTTGCGCTGGCTCATGAGAGCTGATTGCTTAATTTTCAGGGATGTGGCATGCCAATTGTTAAACACAGGTAGTATTAAAAATCAAACTTGAAATATAAATTTAAATGAAATAAATTATATTAAAAACAAAAGCAATACATACTTAAAACTCACCCCCATTATCTGTGTTCTTAAGGTTATTCACATCTATTGTATCCGTGTGCTAGAAACACTATTTAACGCTAGGCTCAGTATTGCACATCTCTCCCCAAGTTTGTGTTCAGAGCTGGCACTTTGGTAGTTTGCAAGCAGCGGTGAGGAAGGGTGGGTAGTATTTGTACAACAGAAATTAACAAATGGAACAATCAGCCCGGCGGGGTGGCTCACGCCCCTAATCCTAGCACTCTGGGAGGCCACACAGGAGGATCGCCTCAGTGCAGGAGTTCAGAGACCAGCCTGAGCAAGAGCAAGATCCTGTCTCTACTGAAAATAGAAAAACTAGCCAGGCGTTGTGGCAGGCGCCTGTAGTTCAGCTACTTGGGGACTGAGGCAAGAAGATCGCTTGAGCCCAAGAGTTTGAGGTTGCTGTGAGCTATGATGATGCCAGGGCACTCTACCCAGGGTAACAAAGTGAGACTATGTCTCAAAAAAAAAAGATAAACAGTATGATCATTTTTTTTTTCTTTCTGTAGTACCAGCAGTTAAACATCAGTTAACAACTACTGGTAAACCACTGCTCTAGTCCAGAACCTTCTGGGGTGTCCAACTTTTTTCTTTTCTCCCACACATTGGAAGAATAAAAGAATAAAAGGGTCACATATTAAATACACAAACACTAATGAAAGCAAAAAGTGTCCTATGCATACTTTTTGTGGTATCCCACATCACAGATAAGCTAAAAAGAAAAAAGTGTCCTCAAGAAATCAGCATGCAGGCTCGGCGCCTATAGCTCACCAGTTAGGGCACCAGCCACATACACCAAGGCAGGTGGGTTTGAACCCAGCCTGGGCCAGCTAAACAACAATG